GCCATCCCCCCATCCCCCACGCTCCCGCCCACTGAGGAACCGGAGACCGCGCAGCCGCAGTAGCCGCCGCGGCCGCTCTTAGCCCGGGGGATCCTGGGACTCGGCCTCTCCGGAAGGACCGTCTCGGCGTCCGGGGCTAGGCCCGTGTTCTAGGCCCAGGCCCGTGTTCCAAGCCGTTGCTCGAAGACCGGCCGGTGGCCGCCGCGACGCTCTCGTGGCGGCGGAGGGGGCAGCGGGCCTCGCGCGGAGGTGCCGGGACCGGCTGTCGAGCGAGCCGCGGGGCCGCGAGACGTGGCGGCGCCTCCCCCCTGGCCCGAAGCGGAACTGCTGAAGGAGCGGCGGCGCAGGCCGGACGGGGTGAGCCGGGTCACTTAACTGCCGTCGGGCGATGAATCATCTGCATCCTCGTCGGATTTGAGGTCCACGGCCCTGGGCGATCCTGCCACGGGACGATTTTCGGTGAATGACCGACCGGTGAGTCTGGAGGGAGGGGGCCTCGGTGACCGCTCGCCCTCGCCCCTTGGTTGGGAAGGCGAGCGCTCCTGCGCTTGGTGGACACTCGTTTCCGGTGCAGCATTCGGGCGGCGAGCTCTTGCTCCGGCTGACGTCTTTGTGCAGGAGGAAGGCTTTCACATGAAAGTGTCTCTCGGTAGCGGCGAAATGGGCGTCTCTGCCCATCTGCAGCCTTGTAAGGCAGGCACCACACGCTTTTTTACCAGCAATACTCACAGTTCGGTAGTATTGCAAGGCTTCGATCAGCTCCGAATAGAAGGATTGCTTTGTGACGTGACCCTGGTACCGGGTGATGGAGATGAAATCTTCCCTGTTCACAGAGCCATGATGGCGTCGGCTAGTGATTATTTCAAGGCCATGTTCACAGGTGGAATGAAAGAACAAGATTTAATGTGCATTAAGCTTCATGGGGTGAACAAGGTTGGCCTGAAGAAAATCATTGATTTTATTTATACTGCAAAACTTTGTCTCAACATGGACAATCTTCAGGACACGCTAGAAGCTGCCAGCTTTCTACAAATTTTGCCTGTTTTGGACTTCTGTAAAGTATTTCTTATATCAGGAGTCTCTTTAGATAACTGTGTCGAGGTTGGACGAATTGCTAACACCTACAATCTTATAGAAGTGGACAAATACGTTAATAATTTCATCCTGAAGAACTTTCCTGCTTTATTGAGTACTGGGGAGTTTCTGAAACTCCCTTTTGAACGGCTTGCCTTTGTGCTTTCCAGTAATAGTCTTAAGCACTGTACTGAACTCGAACTCTTCAAGGCTGCCTGTCGCTGGCTTAGGTTGGAAGACCCTCGGATGGATTATGCTGCAAAATTAATGAAGAATATTCGATTTCCACTGATGACACCACAGGATCTCATCAATTATGTGCAGACAGTGGATTTCATGAGAACAGACAATACATGTGTGAATCTGCTTTTGGAAGCTAGCAATTACCAGATGATGCCATACATGCAGCCAGTGATGCAGTCAGATAGAACTGCCATTCGATCTGACTCTACTCACTTGGTCACATTAGGAGGAGTGTTGAGGCAGCAGCTGGTGGTCAGTAAAGAATTACGGATGTACGATGAAAGAGCACAGGAGTGGAGATCCTTAGCCCCCATGGATGCCCCCCGTTACCAGCATGGCATTGCTGTCATTGGAAACTTTCTTTATGTCGTTGGTGGTCAAAGTAATTATGATACGAAAGGAAAAACTGCCGTTGATACAGTTTTCAGATTCGATCCTCGGTATAATAAATGGATGCAGGTTGCATCGTTAAATGAAAAGCGCACATTCTTCCACTTGAGTGCCCTCAAAGGACATCTGTATGCAGTTGGTGGTCGCAGTGCAGCTGGTGAACTGGCCACAGTAGAATGTTACAACCCAAGAATGAATGAGTGGAGCTATGTTGCAAAAATGAGTGAACCCCACTATGGCCATGCTGGAACAGTGTATGGAGGCTTAATGTATATTTCAGGAGGAATTACCCATGACACTTTCCAAAATGAGCTCATGTGTTTTGACCCAGATACAGACAAATGGACACAGAAGGCTCCAATGACTACAGTCAGAGGTCTGCATTGCATGTGTACAGTTGGAGATAAGCTGTATGTCATCGGCGGCAATCACTTCAGAGGTACAAGTGATTATGATGATGTTCTAAGCTGTGAATACTATTCACCAACCCTTGACCAGTGGACACCAATTGCTGCTATGTTAAGAGGTCAGAGTGATGTTGGAGTTGCTGTCTTTGAAAATAAAATCTACGTTGTTGGTGGATATTCTTGGAATAATCGTTGTATGGTGGAAATTGTCCAGAAATACGACCCAGAAAAAGATGAGTGGCATAAAGTTTTTGACCTTCCAGAGTCACTTGGTGGCATTCGAGCTTGTACACTCACAGTTTTTCCACCAGAAGAAAATCCTGGGTCACCTTCTAGAGAATCACCTCTTTCAGCCCCTTCAGATCATTGTTAGGTCTAAGGGATAACTTCGCAGTACGTGGTGGATGACCTATACTTGCCCTTCAGTTGTATCTTCTTACAATGTCTGGTACAGTTATTAGATGAAAAGGTAACTTGTTATTTGTCTTGTTTGGCTTAGTATATTGATCAGAAATGGTTAATGAATGCATTCTGAAGATATAGTCAACATTGCTGTTTTAGCACATGAAAAAAAGATGTAGAAAATGTTTAAACTAGATGTCTTTTTGTGGTGTTATAAAAGTCAAATTGTAGGTGACTAGTAAATGTATAATTATGTCTATTATGCTTAAAGTTGAAAGTTTTCTTCATCTTTGACTGTAAAACATCAACGGGAGGCCACCTGCTCTAACGTAAAATAATAAGGAAAAAGTTGCCAAGTATTATTTAGCCACCTCCCTCTTTTCAGAGAGTTTTAACCTGTCAACTCATTCGATTGTGTTGTTGCATTCAGAATATGCGAAGTTGCTTAGACAGAGAAGAGAATAATGAAAATGTGAACTAGAAAAAACAGTGTATCCCTAAGTCAGAGTTGGGTATCTCTTAGAGAGAAAGAGGAGAAAGAAAAGATACGCATAACACAAATGTGTATGCACACACATACATATGTATATAACATACACACACATAATTTTTAATTGATTGGCACTTCAACTATGGTGAAATTGTTTTAAAATTTAATTTTTTTCCACAAAGCAACTATTTCTATTTAAATGGGAATTCAACACCAGGGAATAAATGTCTATGTAGTCATACTGAATTTAGAGAGATAAGGGCTACAACATATTAAAAACCAAATTTGTCATTTGACTCAATTGCTAACTTCAGATGAAGCTTACACTACTTTTTCTGCTTGTATTTTTTGGTAGATTTACTTTTACACAGATTAGCAAAATTTGTTTCAGAGAATTGCTTTTGCTCAGTAAATTTAGGCTCTGCGTTTTTCCACCTTTTAGTAAAATTTGTGATAGGAAAACAAAGAAATATTCTGAACAAAGCTGTAGGATTTTAAGTTCGGTCTCCCAGCTTAGTCATCCTAACATGATTCTTTTGTGATTTGTGGTGATTGCCCTGGTGCTGTCCAGTCTGTGTGCATCCTGAGCTGTGAGATCTGCCTCGAGGCTATGATCTGAGCAAGCAGGAGATGCATTCTCTTCTGCATCAAGTCAGAAAATGTCCTTTTGGCCATCTCAAGCACAGGACCAACTTCAGATTCCCTAAGAAGCCTGTACAGAAATCCTAGAACACTGTTTTCTTGATCTAAAGTAGATCTTCAGCCTCTTCAATACCAATGGTATCCTTACTGATTAAAAAATCACATGGGGAGATTTTAACGGGATGTTATCACCAAATGGAATTATAGGAGTACTCTGTAATAAGTGATTCTGAAGAGGTACTTCTGGAATAATTGTCTACCTGAAGGAAAAAATTATATATATCTCCATCCCTATACCTGAGAGATTGTCAGAGTATAAATCAGGAACAATTTTCTCTTTATTGACAATCCCACAATAAAACTCAGGAACCAAGGTAAAAGGAATTGGCTTCTAGGGTTCTGAACCTTACTGCCCATACAAGTGTTGATTCATTTGAATGCTTTTTATGATTTCTGCATTGGCAGACATTTTCATACTATTTTTTTAATGACTCAGTTTTTTTATTACTAAAAATAGCACATTTGAGTACATTTACAAAATAGAAAAAGTAGAAATTGTTAACTTTGTGTATTGACCTAAGCAAGAAATGACATACCAGTCCTTTCTTTCCTTGATTACTAATAAGGTTGACTATTTGTGTCTTTGGGTAGCTGTTTCTTCTTTAATCAAATGTTCATGTCCTTTGTCCTTGTGATACCTATTGGAGTTGCTTTGTTTTCTGTATAAAGTTAGAAGATCTCTTTATAAAATAAAAATAATTTAACTGGCACTTGCTTGCGTTGTGTGTGAGTGTGTGTTTTTTCAATCTATTATAGTTTTACAAAGACAAGACCATTCAGTTAATTTTTGAGATCTGATTTGTTTCTTTTTACATTTTGACCTTTTGGAGATAATTTTTATGTGGTTTCTTTATTTTTACGTAGTACTGCTGTATTGTTTCAGTGCTAATTCTGACATGGCAAGGTGGTATTATCCTGCTTGTCTTCTGTTTTGTACAAGCTTTTCTCTCGTTGAAAAAATATTTCTGCCTCACACACCCAAATTCTCATCCTTTTACTTTTCCATTTTCTGCAGTTGACAGTTCTCTAGGCAGTTATACAAATAGCTGACTGATGCTATGCTAATACAAGTTGAGCACCCTTAATCCCCAAATCCCAAATACTCCAAATCCAAAACTTTTTGAAGGCCAACATGATGCCATGGGTGGAAAATTTTACACCTGACCTCAGGTGATGGGTTGCAGTCAAAACACAGTTAAAACTTTGTTTCATGCACAACATTATTAAAACTATTGTGTATAATTACCTTCAGATTATGTGTAAAAGATATATATAAGATATAAATGAATTTTGTGGTTAGACTTGGATCCTATTCCCAAAATATCTCAAGCATATGCAAATATTCAGAAATCCAAAATCTGAAACGTTTTTGGTCCTAAGCATTTTGTATAAGGCATACTCTACCTGTATTGCTAATTAAACCTGGAATTCCTTCTTTAGATGGAATAGAGATGGAAATTTTAGGTGGCTTTGAAATGACTAACTGGAAAGAGGTTAATTTTCATAAGCTGGTAATTTTTAAAAGAATTTATACTGTAGAAAAATAAGAGGATAAAAACTACAAGCACTTAAAGCATTCTATTAACATTTCTTGTTTTAGTTTTTCTGATAAGTTCAAATATTAACATTTGTTTTTTATATAAAAATTATGATTTATTATTGAAAGAACAAGAAATAAAAGCAAAAAGTAATTTATCAATGATTCCACATGCTAAAGATAACTTTTGTTAATACTGAGTATATTATACATATGTATTTACAGACATTTTTCAAGTATTTTTCAAATATACCAGACTAAGCTAAAAGGTGACAAAAAAAAATTTCAAACACACAGATGCCTATCATTATGACTTTTTTCCTTTTTTAAGCTGTTTTTACCAGAAAATAATATGTAAGGTGTTAATTTTCCTAAATATAAAATGCACTTGCATTTTTAAAAAATTCCATTTTTATTCACGCAAATTACGACAAATTATTTTCCCACTTGGTAACAGCAGTATTTATGTATTTTTTCTGCAAAGCAGATGCATTCGATCATGTTTACATTTTGGTAATTACAAATATTGTTCTCGGTTATAAAGACAAAATATACTCCTGCAGAACATTTCTAAACTACATAAATGTACCATAAAGAAAACTAAAACCAATATTCCCACCCCAACTCAACCAATTATTAATAACTGCTGAAAGACTTTGGAGTAAGTTTACTTCTCTAAGCTTCAATTTCCTCATTTATGAGGTTGGGTGTGGTCATTAATAATTCTACCTATTTCGGTTTGTAAGGAGATAATACAAAGTGATTAGCATAAGATATTACAAAGAAGCATTCAGTAAGTGATAGTGGTTACTAATACAGTTGCCATCAAAATTTTTTACTTTTCATCATAATGATTTTCAGATTATTGAAAGTGTTTTATGTCTACAATATTTCATTCTATGAGCATGTCATATTTTTTCCATTTCCCTATGTGTAGATACTTAAATAATCTACTGCAAACTTTCAATGTTATAAAAAAAAGCAAGATTTACTATTCTTACATAAAACTTTGCCCACTAACTTGCGATAAATGTAAAATAAAATCTGAATCAAGTAGTGTAAGCTTTTTTAGTCCCTTAAAAATATTTTCCTTAAAAATATAGTGTGTTAATATACATTGCCAGCAGAACTGTGTTCAGTGACTACTTCAAAGGAAATTTTTGCAGGTCTAGTTATTTCATCGTTTGGATTTACATTTAATAACTAGTTACAATTTGTTTTCTATTAAGCAGATGTATTTTTCATAAGTCATTTTTTCCTATCTATCCTTTAATTGTCCTATTCGTTATAAATACTTTTGTTGTCAATGTATGGAATTTTTACAGAGCAGCGTTTATTCAGTTTAAAGTGATCTTTTTTGCACTTTGACCTTGTGTGATAATTTTGCTGTTTGCTTTTACATAGTACTGATCCTTGTTCTTGATCCTACAGTTTTGTCAGTGCTAGTTCCTTGTCGGTGCTGTGTTCAGGTGGTATTTACCACTTGTCTCCTGTTCAAGAAGCTTTTCTTTCTAGTTGAATTGAAGATGAGTTTTTCCTAAAAATTTATAAAATTTCTTTGATATTAAGAATATTAATCTGTATACTCTATTTACAGCAAGTATTTGCCCAGCTTTTTTTGTGAGAAAAAAACACAAATTTGTTTTTTCTTTGTAATGTAGTGAAATTCTTTTTTTTCATTTTAAAATGCTTTCTTGCATAATTTTTTCCATGATCAGGTGGTATTATTTCATTATTTTATGTTGTCATTGATACAATTTTCTGCTAGACTTTTGGTATAAAATCTAATGTGTTTTCAAATTATTATCCAGTTGTTCAATAGCCACTTTTTGAATACGTTTCACTTCCTCAATGAATTTTTATGCTTTAAAAAAATTATAAAATCTTATTTATAATATGGCAAATTTAGGGTCTTCTAAATTTCCAGTGATCTTTTATTCAAGTTTTATTTGGTATAGATAGATTTCTGTTTATTTCATTATCATGTTATAATCTAAACTCTGTTGGTAATAGTAGGAAATACATGATTTCAGCATATTGGTTTTTTTGTCTACATTACTGATTCATTGATTCTTAACAGCTTTTGGGGGTAGATTCTCTTGTAACTTCACCTTAAAGAATTATTATCTAGGCCGGGCTTGGTGCCTTAGCCTGTAATCCCAGCACTTTGAGAGGCTGAGGCCAAAAGATGACCTGAGCCCATGGGTTCGAGACTATCCTGGGCAACCTAGCAAGACCTCTTCTCTACAATAAATCAAAAAATTAGCCAGGCATGGTAGCATGCGCCTAGTTTGGCAACTTGGAAAGCTGAGGCGAAAGTATCGCCAGAGCCCAGCAGGTCGATGCTGGGGTGGCTGTGAGTGTGCCACTGCACTCTAATCTGAGCGACAGAGTGAGACTCTGACTCAAAAAAAAAAAAAGAATTATTATCTGCACAGTATTATAAAAACAATTTTTGTATACTTTGTGTAATAAAGCATTAATTAATAGTTTCAAGCAGTTATAGTAATGACTCAAGGCATTGTGTGGCATAGGTTATTTTAATAGTGATAATTCTAGTTTTAGAATTCCTTTGTTACAGAGAAATAATCTTGATCTTGTTCATCAAGTACCTCATTAATTGGGAGTCTTAAAAAAGTAAGGATGTATATATTTATCACAGATACTTAGCAAAATTTATTGACATGGCAGTTTAATTTTTTTTTATGTCAAATACTGAAGAAGAGTTTGTTTTTTAATTGTTTTCAACTGTTGGGTTGCAAAGCACTCTCATATTGCTGAGTACATTATCAGTTGAAGTTTTGTTTGTTAACCAAAGGCACTAATACACGAGAATAGGTAGTACCTCCATTAGCAGTCCTGTAGCAACGGCTTTCTAAAGGCTAATGTTATTCTGCCATCTACTGGTTGAAATTTAAAGTCTTCATTTAGATTTCAGAAAATGTATCTCCTCTAAACAAAACAATAATAACCAGCAGACATTTTTATAGGTTATGTGAAAGTTCACAGTTGCCAGCTTATATCAAATACATAAGTAAATGTAAAAAACTCTTGGCAACTCTTGGTATATAGTAGATCAAATAATCAAAGAGGATTTTTTTTGAAATTACATAAAAATAGATTTTAATTACTTTGATAAATTCATAAAATTTAAATTTAAAAGAACTGAATTTGTACGCTAAACATTTATACTCCTCCATTTTTTCTTTGTTAGTGGATTCACCATATTTATTTTTAGCACAGAGCCTCATTACAAAGACGCTTATAGAGTAAATCTTTTGAACAACAGAAAGGATGTAAAATGCATTATATCCAAGTATAAGTAAATCTGACAATGTGATGGTATTTTAAGAGCTTTTTAGATTGGTTTGACTGTGTGGATAGGATCAAATCATTTCTGCTGCAGACACATAACTTTCACCTGGTTCAAATAGAAACATGTATACATAAACACACACACGTGTGATACAAAATGGTTTCTGGACCAGCTGGTTCAAACTTTTCTTAGTACTGTCCATGGGCTCAAAGAAAGCCTGTTTCTTGGCTATGAACAGTAGAAGTGGCATCTACCTATTTCCTCATTCTCCAAAACGCTGTCTCAGAACAAAATATACACTGAGCATTTTTTCTCTCTACTAGTCAGTGTTTACTTCAGTTTTAAAAATTACTGTCTCCACCCTTCCCCAGATGAGATCACAAACTGATTTCGCAAAAGCTTCAATATGTCATATGTATATGAATGCATTTGAAAATGTGTGATCTATTAATAGTGCCTCCTAAAGGATATCAAGAGTGCACATATCCCCATATTTATTTTCTACGTAGAAGTGAAGGAACAAGGTTAGGTTTCATGCAATCTTAGAACAAGATGAGTGAGTACAAAGCTGATGACAGCTGCCAAGTGACCTAAGCTTCAGGTATTTCACTCTGTACAGCCTCTTCCCCAATTCTAAGTGGGAAGAGTATACCTGGCGCTTTATTGGTGCATCTTCCAGGAGGCTGTTACTATACAGCCTTACAACCTCTTACAGTGAAGGTGTATGACTGCTTCATTTCACCCAAAGCCAGTCAGCAGAGTACTTGTTTGTTTGTGTGGAAAGCAGGTCTAACATCTACTGATTTAAACAACTGTATCTTACTTAGGGAGTATTCACTTAGAAGTCAAAACCTTCT